TATATTAACTTATTAATATCAAATGCATTGATTATGTGTTACATGTTTCTATTTATATGAAGTTTCTCACATTGAAATGAGGATGTATACTGTCAGCACCCCTGTCTGTCCGTCCATCGTTCACAATTGCTTGTATACTCTATAGAGGTTAAAGTTAATATCCAACTGACTTATAGTAATACACAGTGTTTAAGGTCATAAGACAACGAAGCCTGTAGATTTTCAATGATTTCAGATAATTACTTTAAAAAATCTTGTGGACGCTCTAGCGATCAAAGTGATCAACCGATTAACTTTAAACTTATACACAGTTTTTATTGACATGAGACAAAGAAGTCAGTTGATTTCCGGTATGACAGAGTTATGACCCTTTGATCACTTTGGAAAATCTTGTGGATGCCCTAGCGACCTAAGTTATCATCCAATTGACTTTAAATTTATGCACAGTGTTCAAGGTCATGAGAGGAAGTATCCTATGATTTTCACTATTTCTGATAATTACTGCCATAGTTATGACAGTGTTATACACAGTGTTTAAGGTCATGAGACGAAGAAGCCTATTGATTTTCAGCGATTTCTGATAATTACTGCCAGAGTTATGGCCCTTGATCACTTCAAAAAATCTTGTGGATGCCCTAGCAACCTAAGTTATTATCCAATTGACTTTAAATTTATGCACAGTGTTCAAGGTCATGAGAGGAAGTATCCTATTGATTTTCACTATTTCTGGTAATTACTGCCATAGTTATGACCCTTGATCAATTTGAAAAATCTTGTAGACATTCTCGAAACCAAAGTTATCAACCGATTGACTTTAAATTTATCTTATACACGGTGTTTAAAGTAATGGGGTGAAGAAGCCAATTGATTATTACTGCCAGAGTTATGACCCTTGATCATTTTGAAAAAGTTGTAGTGGGGCAGATATGTGAAATGGGCATGCACTTTCTTCATAAATGCGATATATTCAGTGAAAATACATTTAACAAGGTATCAGTATCATTCTATTTTTCAGAAACAAGTGATGGCCATCTAGTCAATCGCCTACCATGTCCAAAAGACTTAAACCGCTCCTCGGGCATGTGCTACAGTTACATCTGTTCAGGGGGATCACGTGGCTAAGTGGGTAAGACGCTGGCTCGCTAGCCTGGAGATCGGGTGTTTGATCCCTGCATTGGCCGAGAAAGTTCATCCAGATTTTCCGGCGTGGTTCTCCCTTGTCAGTGATGCAGACCCGTGTCAGAAATTCTCCAAGACACAAAGGTGCTGGCAAAATTATCAGCAGGAGACATGATCGCAATTGATGCTGTGTATCACTTTAAGTGCTTGACATCATTTTATAACATAGAATGGAGGTTTTCAGTTGTGACACCACCTAATCTTTGTAGTCTTTCACTATACAGTGTCTTGAGATCAGTGAGTTTGAAAATATGACTCCGGTCCCTACCTAATTGACCATATTCCTCAATATATGAAACCACCTCAGCAAATGCAAATGCGTCTCCATTAATTTGGTAACACTTCTTAGTCGAATATCATTGTTGAGATCTATGTTTGTTATAAAATGATGTCAAGCACTTAAAGTGACACACAGCATCAATTGCAATCATGTCTCCTGCTGATAATTTGGCCAGCATCTTTGTGTCTTGGAGTTCTGTAGCGATTTTTTGGACACGGGTATCAAAGGACATTGTTTCCGCTTTGTGAAAATCTCCTGTGGTTCCATCACAGAAAAGACAAGCTGGTTGATGCAGCTCGTCTGTATCCATGGGACATGCTGAAGTGGTTGAACTACGAAGGTGTTTTTTATGCGGTGATTGGGTCGTGTTCATACAAGCCTTTTCTTGCAGCTTCTTGGCTCTCTCCACTTTTGCTGCATTACACAGTCCTGACGTAACAACTTTTATGCCATCTAGCTTTATGCTTTACCATCGTTTTTTTTCATGCTATCACCATCATCTAGTCGGGATATGTATATGTAAGGCACTTTGTTCAATTCCTGAAAGACAGATAAATTAGTGTCCAGAGACGAGTAACCTGATGCTGATGGGCTTAGGGGTTCCATCATGTTCTTGACACAGAGCACAAATTTCCCAATTGGTCGGTTGAACAGATGTAACTGTAGCACATGCCCGAGGAGCAGCTTAAGTCTTTAGGACATGGTAGGTGACTGACTAGATGGCCATCACTTGTTTCTGAAAAATAGAATGATACTGATACCTTGTTAAATGTATTTTCACTGAATATATCGGATTTATGAAGAAAGTTCAGACATTTACTGAATATTTTTACAACACTATGGTGTGCATATATAACATGGTGATTGACATGAAATGTGGACTGTTTGTTTTTGATAAGTAATAGCTAATTTTCACTGAAATGGAACATAATGAATTCTTGACATCCATTTAGCAAAGAAGAAGGTGCAAATAATACATCCGTTCGAATAGAATTATGACCATTTTTAGAAAACACTATGAAGGAGAACATTATGAGTCTTCGTATGTGTTTTACTGGATTCCTAGACCTAAAAAACATAGGTATAGACATCAAAATCATTAAAATCGGTGCACTTACAGAAATTTTATGGACGAAACGTGTTTATGGCGGCCATTTTGAACTTCTTAATTTTTGGCGGGAACAGCTAGAGTAACATCGTGGTTCCCGTCATTTTTGAAATCAGTATACCCCAAAACCCCCATGGCCAAATTTTCATGCTTCTTTCCGGAAGTGCACAACTCGACCAAAAAATGTTACATATCTGCCCCACTATTGTGGAAGCTGCAAAGGCTAAAGTTATCTGATTGCCTTTAAATTTATATTTAGTGTTTAAGAATGCGTTTGCGAGAGAACCATGCAGGGACCGGCAATGATCTATAGTATTAAGATCAATAAAAAAATTGGGTGGCACTCAACCCGTTTAGTAGTAAATAATTTCCATTTTTGTCCAAAAATAACGATTTTCAACAAAAATGACGAAACATAAACCGCTTTTTTATACACTGAAAAGTGTAACATGGCACTGGAAACCAAATTAACGTGGGTTCCAGTTCCATTATCTATCTATCTATCTATCTATCTATCTATCTATATATCTGTCTAATAAGTATCTAATCACGAAAACTGAGCTCACAATTACACCGTTAAAATTTTGAAAAGCTTAATTTACTGTAAATGCCAAAAGAGCTGTTCCTGGTAAATACAATTAATCTCTTTAGACTATTTTTCAACATTTCATTAATTCAGCAATATAATCTCATGATCTAGTAGAAGGATGATGAATTTTTGAACAGCAAATCGTAAAAACTAAATAGTGTAGTAGTCATGTACATCTGTCTATACTTGACAAACGAATCAAGCGATATTTTAAAAAGGTAAAATCAAATAGTATATGAGCGTAAGGTTACTGTTGTAGCATACTCCCCGCAGTGTTTCGTTTGATTAGACCTAATCTGGTGGGAATTCGAGCTGCAGTATTTTGTACAAGTTGATTTATTTTTAAATATTAGCACTAGATGTTTCCACTAACATGCTGTTACAGTAGTCAATCCTTGAAAATACTAAAGAACATAAAAGTGTAGCAGCTGCTTCCTAACCAATGTTCCTGGACTGAAGATAACAGTTTCAACAAATTTCACTAATGTGACTGTCCATGCTCAAATTGGACCCTAAGAGGACTTCACAGTGTCTCATGGTACAAATATTGCATCTCGTACAACCACATCATTTGAACTTGTATTTTTCAGATGTGTATTTGGACCACATAAAATACATTCTGATTTACTTAATTCAATTAAATTTAATTTCAACATATTTCTTGTCATCCTATCTTTAATCTTAGATCTAGTATTCTAGTTCTATGCTTTAATGTCATGTGTACAATTAGGGGATGGAACAGTTTTTGAAAGGGAGAAATTTGCAATCAGCTGTATATCATCTTCATAGTTGTCCTAAATTCTTAGTATACATTACAGAAAAGACAGGTCCAAGGACTGATCCTTGTGGAACTCTGAATCATCTGGAAGTCGGTTGCTTGGGGCATTATCTGGCCTAATAATCCCGGCAATGAATGATTTTATTGGAAAAATGATGTCAAAAATGAAGTCATTTTCTTCAAGTTTGACCTTCAAATTTAATATGAAAGAAATCCGTGCCAGTCATTTTGTCAAAACCAAATATTAGTATTAGTGTAGTCCCTTACTTCCATTATTAATAGAATTGTCCTCAGCCCCGCAGTGGGTGAGATATAGCATCATGAAATTTATATGTTTTAACATATAGCAAAAACTACATCTCAAAATAAATTCCTCATAGCCTCAAATGGTTTCGGAAAAATTTAATAGTCCTATATATTGAAGTAGTAGACAAGATCATTCATAAAAAAATAATTTAAAAAAACAAAAAAATCAATAGGCAATTTATGGGAAATATTTGAATTTAGGGATTTTTTAAAGAAAAAAATGACGTTTTATTTTACTCTTAAATGGCCATAGTTTTTTTTTTAATTTAAGGATTTTTAAAAAAAAAAATGACGTTTTATTTTACTCTAAAATGGCCATAGCTGGTTCTCCGTAACTACAAGGTTGGTGAACCTCGTATTTCATTTGGGGTATATGGGGTACCCAATGACCAAATCTGCAAAGTTTGGTCAAAATCGCCTGACACCGCTTGTGGCGGTTTTTTTTTAATTTTGCATGATTCTCTCGCGAACTCATTCTTAAGGTCATGAGACAAAGAAGCCTCATGATGTTCAACGGTTTCGGAAAACTTGAACAGCCGAATTCATCGTATTACATGTTTTGTATAATAAAAGTCATTGGGAAGAACTACACAGCCATAACAATTCTAATGATTTTGTGATATTTACTTAATGGGTTTTTAGTGTCTGATAAATTAATTCATTTAGCGACAAAAGAAAGAATATGCGACAAACCTTGTGGACTTCTGGACTTTACTGATGTGGGCTCATGTTTAGTTGCAACATACCTTTTTTATTTCAGGGGTATAAATTTTGTGTTAAGTGCTTTAGTCTTTAATGTGGTGCCAACTGTCTTTGAAGTTTCATTCGTCAGTGCTATTTTGGTAAGGAAAATCTCTTTTACATATATCCATACCTTAGGTATTTACTAGTATCAGATTGATTGGATATGCTACAAGATTGATTGAAACTCTCATTAGTAATTCCTGTGACAACAACATTTTAGTTTGATATTTGATTATGAAGCTTTTTTTATACGCCCACATTTTCATGTGGACGAATATTGTCTTCGCCCTTGTCTGTCCTCTATTTTTATCCGATTTATCTGAATATGATTCAGATTCCGATGAAATAAATGAATCAGAAAGAGAACAGTATGCTCACTAGCAGATCAAGTTGATGATAATGCTACAAAAGACTGATTAGAAGACATTTGGAGAGATGTATGTGCTGGATAGGCAGAATGACAGGCCCCACTTTTGCGAAACCGGTCCTGTATGTAACATAGATGTCGTCTGCCTCGTTGTTTACATTCATTATATTAGCTACTGTCATGTTTTTTTTTTGTTTTTTTTTTAACTTTTTGAATACTTTTTATACGCCCACATTGAAATGTGGTCATATATTGTTATCGCCCCTGTCCGTCCACCCGTTGGTCCGTCCGTCTGTCCGGCATCCACAATTGCTTGTGGACGCTCTATAGGCTAAAGTTAATATCCGATTGCCTTTAAATTTATACACAGTGTTTGAGGTCATGAGACGAAGAAGCCTATTGATTTTCAGCGATTTCCGATAATTACTGCCAGAGTAATGGGCCTTGATCACTTCAAAAAATCTTGTGGACGCTCTAAAGGCCAAGGTTAATATCCGATTGACTTTAAATTTATACACAGTGTTAAAGGTCATGAGACGAAGAAGCCTATTGATTTTCAGCAATTTACGATAATTACTGCCAGAGTTATGGCCCTTGATCACTTCGAAAAATCTTGTGGATGCTCTAAAGGCCAAAGTTAATATCCGATTGACTATAAATTTTTACACAGTGTTTAAGGTCATGAGACGAAGAAGCCTATTGATTTTCAGCGATTTCCGATAATTACTGCCAGAGTTATGGCCCTTGATCACTTCGAAAAATCTTCTGGATGCTCTAAAGGCCAAAGTTAATATCCGATTGACTTTAAATTTATACACAATGTTTAAGGTCATGAGACGAAGAAACCTATTGATTTTCAACGATTTCCGATAATTACTGCCAGAGTTATGGCCCTTGATCACTTCAAAAAATCTTGTGGATGCTCTAGAAGCCAAAGTTAATATTCGATTGACTTTAAATTTATACACAGTGTTTAAGGTCATGAGACGAAGAAGCCTATTGATTTTCAGTGATTTCCAATATTTGCTGCCAGAGTTATGGCCCTTGATCACTTTGGAAAATCTTGTGGACGCTCTAGAGGCCAAAGTTAATATCCGATTGACTTTCAATTTATACACAGTGTTTCAGGTCATGAGACGAAGAAGCCTATTGTTTTTCAGCGATTTCCGATAATTACTGCCAGAGTTATGGCCCTTGATCACTTCAAAAAATCTTGTGGATGCTCTAGAGGCTAAAGTTAATATCCGATTGAGTTTAAATTTATACACAGTGTTTGAGGTCATGAGACGAAGATTCCTATTGATTTTCAACAATTTCCGATAATTACTGCTAAAGTTATGGCCCTTGATCACTTTGCAAAATCTTGTGACGCTCTAAAGGATAAAGTTATCATCCGATTGACTTCAGATTGATACACAGAGTATATTGATTTTCAATGAATTTTTATGACTTGAACAGTTAAATCCATGATATTAAAAGCTTTGCATACAAAACGTTAGCATGGGGCAGAACTTTACAAAAACCAAACAAATTCTAATAGTTTTCTGATAATTACTTCGTGAGTTGTTGCTCTTAATCAGATTTTAGTGTATTATAAAAGTAATAATATGCGACAACCCTTGTTGACTGTCGGACGATTTAGTTGCTGTGGGCGTATGTTTCGTTGCCTGGCTACCTATCTTTGGAATGTTTATGCTATATTGACCCTTTTAGAGTTGCATTCACACCCTAAACCACCATTAGGACCCTAAGTAACCAAAGTTTAAGAAACAAATTTAGAGTAGTTTTCGTGATAAAAGCGTCTGACTGAATAGGCACTAAAAAGGTAAATTCTAGATTTTCAGCGTCCCATAATCTATTGCCTTACGCATCGAATTTGTATCATTTGGATGTGATAAGAACGTCCATTATTCGTGCTATCCAATGAGACTTTATTTGTTTAGATTCGGTGAAATCCAAAGGTGAAATCACGTTTTTGGCAAAAAATCTTCATTTTTTTGCATTTTTTTTCGAATTATCGGATATTTTTTCGACTACTTCCTGTTTTGGGATCATTGTCGGGATAGCTTTAACAAGTTGTATAGATACTTAACTTCCTGTGCCAGAAGTGTTAGAAACATCCATTTAGTAGTTTTAGAAAAAAAGATAAATAAAAGAGCATTTTCAATAATTTCACTATTTTTCAACATTTTTCAAAGATTGAGGCCATTTTTGGACCACCTATATTATTTCAATGCTTTTATTTTTGGATTCACACCCTAAACCACCGATAGGACTCTGATTAAGAAAAGTTTAAGAAAAATCGTTGGCGTCGTTTTCGAGAAAAAGGCGTCTCAGAATCCACCAAAACGGAAAATACTAGATTTTCCGCGTACCATAATGTATTTCCTAACCATCGAATTCGTATCATTTAGATGTCATAAGATAGTCTATTCATGGGACTATCCGACGACACTTTAATTGTTTTGGTCCGCTAATATCTGACGGAGAATTCGAGTTTTTAACAAGAGCGCCATTTTTAAAAAAAAAATTTTTACCTTTTTTTTCGTTTTTTAAACTACTTCCGGTATACGAATCATTGTCGGGTAGTTTTAACATCCGGTTTTGGAACTTGAATGGGCACAGAGCTTTATAATGATATACTAAATTAACCGATCAGATAAAATCCCCCTTAGAAATCCTATGTTCAGAAGTGCCAAAAATGCAAAAATGTCAAAATATCGAAAATTAAATTTCAATAACTGACTACATATTATATATGGTTAGAATCGCTATTAGGTCAGGTTTTTCAATTTATAACTTTTTTTTGGAAATCTGTTAAAATAAACAAATAATAGAGAATTTTCCAAAATTTCACGATTTTTTGACTTTTTTCAATTTTCGGTCCCTTTTTTTTTTATCCTATTCCAGACGTTTCAAATTGTTATTTGATGGTTTCATGCACAAGACTACCGAAAGGACTCTCGATAGAGAAAGTTTAAGACAAATTCTTGGAGCAGTTTTCGAGATAAAGGCGTCCAAAAACGCTCCAAATCAGAAAATACTTGATTTTCAGCGTGCCATAGTTTGCTGCCTGGTCATAGTATCCTTATAAATTTGGTATCATACGACAGTCCAATCATCGTGCTACCCAACGATACATTAATTTGTTTAATCCGTTGAAATTGGACGGAGAAATGCCGTTTTTCCCAAAAGCACCCATTTTTTGCTTTTTTTTCAAAATATCGAGCATTATTTTGACTACTTCCGGTTTACGGATCGTTGTTGAAATTGCTTTATCCAACGGTCTGACAGTATGGCTGTACGATCCTGGAGTTTCAGAAAGATCGATTGATGCTTTCAAAAAAATATAAGGGTTGGAAAATGGGCAGAAAATTCGAAAAAAATCGAAAAATAAAGGGCGATAACTCGAAATGGAACTTATATTATTGTTATCGCAAGGTTGGTTCCCAAAATGTAGGTCAAATTTGAAAATTTGGAAAAATAACAAAAATTGTGTCGAAAACAACGTGTTTTCAATTTTCAATTTGTCATAGACAAATGTTCGAAATTGAAAAATATGAGATAGCCATTATCTCGGAAAAGATTCAGCCTTTCTGAAAATGTCATTTGTTTAAAAATAGGTTAAGAATTGATGAAACAACGGCCTATTTTCAATTCCGGGAAAAAGTCCAAAGTTCGGTCACTTCCGGTATGCGCAGAAGTTTGAAAAATAGTTTATCCAGGTCACCACATGGTTTCCCGATAGAAAACTTGGTTCCAGATCAATATCTGTTTCCGATCATGGAGAAATAGGCTCCCCCGGAAAAAAATAATAATAACTAGACCTGCAAGCAGCACTGAAATGGCTTTCAGGAATCAGACAGGAAGTGTGTTATACAATAGCCCATTTATCGAGTTACCAAACGATACTTTAGATGTTTTGATCCGGTCACACCCGACGGTGAAATCCCGATTGTTGCAAGAGCACCGATTTTTTTACTGTGGCCCTTTTGGACCATTTATACTATATTGAGGCTTTTAAATTTGGATTCACACCATAGACCACCGTTAGGACTCTAAGTAAAAGAAGTATAAGAAAGGAAATAAGAGATGTTTTCGAGATAAAAACGTCTGAATAGGGTCCAAAAAGGAAAATAATAGATTTTCAGCGTTTCATTATATATTGCCTAACCTGCGAATTTTTACCATTTAGATGTCATACGATTGTCCATTGTTCGGGCTCTCCAATGACACTTTAGTTGTTTTGATTCGGTGAAATCTTACGTAGTAATAACTTTTTTCGGAAGATCACCATTTTTTTCACTTTTTATGTTGGTTTTTTTCTTAAAATATCGGATATTTTTTGGACTACTTCCGGTTTTTGGATCATTGTCTGGATAGTTTTAACAAGTTGTTTGGTTACCTAACCTTCTGTACAAGAAGTTTCAGAAACATCCATTCAGCTGTTCTCCAAAGAAAGAAAAATAGAATAGCATTTTCAGTAATTTAAGGATTTTTTAACTTTTTTCCAAGATTGAGGCTCTTTTTGGACCACTTATATTATTTCAATGCTTTTATTTTTGGACTCTCGCCATAGTCCACCGATAGGACTCTAAGTAAAAGAAGTTTAAGAAAAATCGTAATTTTCATTTTCGAGAAAATAGCGTCTCAAAATGCTCCAAAACGGAAAACACTAGATTTTTGGTGTACCATAATTTATTTTCTAGCCATCTAAATCGTATCATTAGA